AATGAGAGTACTGATACCAGGAGGGTAAGGGAAAGGTGGGGGCAGAAAGGGGGAACCGACCTCAGTGATCTACATATAACCCGCTCCCTGTTGGACGGACAACAGAAAAGTGGGTGAAGGGAGACATCAGTCAGTGTAAGACATGAAAAAATAATAATAAATTATAAATTATCAAGGGTTCCTGAGTGAGGAGGGCCGGGGAGGGAGGGGGGAAATGAGGAGCTGATACCAAGGGCTCAAGTAGAAAGCAAATGTTTTGAGAATGATAACGGCAATAAGTGTACAAATGTGCTTGACAGAATGGATGCATCTATGTATTGTGATAAGAGTTGTACACGCCCCCAATAAAATGATTTAGTGTGTGTGTGTGTATGTATATATATATATATATATTGGGTCTGGCTAGACCCTTGCTTGATAGATCAGTGCATCAGTCCCAGGAAGCGTTGTGGTCTTTTAAGGTCACCTAGGCAGGGAGGGATAGCCCCAGTCTTTAGTCCTCCCAGTTCTCTATTCTTCTCAAAAGGAGGAAATATATGAACACCACTGGGATGTTGTCTCAGTGCTGCTGGTGGATTTTGTTCTGGGCCTAGTTAAGGGGAGAGTTTTGTCTTTTTCAAGAGAGAAAGACCATCTTTAAACAGCCTTCCAGTTGTCAGCAGAGCTGGCTGGGTTGTCTCTCCTCTGGTGAGAAGCGTATGCGATTTGAGACAGCGGGCCACAGAGGGCCCTATTGTGTTCACGTCACTAATGGGTGCATCGTCGTGCAGCTGATGTGTCCATTTGCCATGGAGCAACAGCTGGCCGCCTGGCTGACAATGCAACTGCTGTTTCAGGTAGAAACAGCTGTTTTGCCACCAAGTATGTGAGCCTGGGCCTGCTTTTGTAGTTCCTTAGACACCACTGTGGTTAACGGATTTGATATCAGTCCCCGGGTGAAGTTCTTCAGGGCTTCTCATAGACTTGGAACCTTATTAAGTGAATGATTTTCATTTAAGATAATTAAAATTAATTTCAAACAGAAGGCTGTTTTGCAATATTCATCCTGTTAAAGGATGATGCTGATTTCATGCAACATTTTTGCATGATCAATTGGGTTGCAGCTAATTAATGAAGTCATGCCAAGCCTGGGAATGAAGTTTAAATGATTGTTTATGGACTTCTCTGCATATGGAGTGATCATAGCTAAAGCAGCATTTACACAGGGCTTGGGTGTCACGTTTACCCCAGAGTGACTGGTTCCTTTCATCCCTGTCTCTCAGCTGTCACCCCATGTCTGGAGAGTGCGCCTGCAAGCCAGGCTGGTCTGGACTCTACTGTAATGAGACATGCTCTCCTGGATTCTATGGGGACTCTTGCCAACAGATCTGCAGCTGCCAGAATGGAGCTGACTGTGACAGTGTGACCGGGAAGTGCACCTGTGCCCCCGGATTCAAAGTGAGTGTCTTGGGCTTGGAGAGGGGGTGTAATGTGGACCATCAACACCTCAAGTTGCATGACCTCGGTTCATGGGAGAGTTGCTTCTTTGTATTGTGGTGAAAACATACACAGCAAAGCCTTTGCCAGTTCGATGATTTCTTCGGGTACAATTCAAGGACACTGATGATCCTTTATAGGTTGCGGAACCCCATGCCTACCTTTTCCTGACTTATTTATCACACATGTTCATCCCATGCAGACCATTAACCTCTACGCTGTGCCACCCCCAGCCCCAGCAAGAGCGCATCCTCTCCCCTGGTATCACTGGTAACCACTGACAAACTTGGGTTTCTAGATATTGGTTTCTTCCATATGAATGGGGATCATACAGTATTTGGCCCTTTGTAAGTAATTTGTTTCGCTCAGCGTACCATTTTCAAGAGGCACTCATGGTGCATCAGGACCTCATTTATCTTCACGGCTGACAATATTTCATTGTATGCATCAACTCCATTTGGGTTATTCCATCAGCAGATGAAGGGGTGACTTCTTTGGGGGTTTATAAATCTAGGACTGTGATTACATGATATTTTCAGAAGCAAATGGATATGCCAACATTATCCCGTGGTTAATGAGAAAGAGAATAAAGGGGAAAGTGCCAGGATAGATAGAAGTGATTGCCTTAGAATGATTCCTGATGAAGCTGGTAAAAATATGCATGCAGCATTAACTTTGAATATAAATATATGTGCTGAAGTATAAAGATTCTATAAGTAATGGGTTTGCTGTGCTTTATTAAAAGGAATTACTTTTTCAAGTGTGGTAGGTATTATTGTTAACCATTTCTGTTTTTAATTCTTTGCACGATGAAAATAGCTAGTATAAGTTGGTATGTATTTCCATTGCATGGTTCATTGTATATATATGTTTTCAGATCTTTTTAATAATGAGACTCTAAAAGAGTACATTTGACTATATTCTCTAGAATTTCTTCACCCCAGAATTGGAAACCATGTGTTCACAGAAAATAGGAAATTCTTGAATTGCTTCCCTCCATTTTAATGGGGAACGCACTGAACTGTGAAGAATGCTGAATTTCAGAGCACGTCATGCAGGATGGGTGGCTCCTCAGATTGCAGAGCGGAGACGACCCTACCTTATATCCCTGCCCTGTCGTTGGGCCCCACTTGGATTGACCTGCTCTTAAAGAAGTTGCTTCTGTTTTTGCAGATGGCCTCTGTCACCTTTTGGAGCCCAACTCTATGTTTAACCCTCACTGCCAGAAAATCGATGGAATGGCAGGGCTGGCAGAGTAGGATTTTTTGCTTTGTATCTCACCTTGACAGTACTACCTATGAGGCGAGGAAGTTGAGGATACATTGTGATTTGATGCATAGTTAGTCATTGTCTATTTTTTAAAACCCCAATTTACGATGTATGGTTACTTATTTATGTGTTTGAGCAAACACAAGAGGTTTCATTTTTGCTACCAAGGCAGAACGAATAAAAGCAGAAGTTTGGGGGTGAGTCTCATTTAATGCTGGATTCTAAACAAGACCAGTGGCATTAGTGGCTCAGTGATAGAATTCTTGCCTTCCATGCAAAAGGCCTGAGTTCAATTCCCAAACAAGTGTGTATTATGATATAGAATAGGTTTCAGTATAGCTTCCAGACTAAGATAGACTAGGATGAAAGTGTGGCTATCTATATGACAATCTTCCTATGAAAACCCTATAGATGACAGCAGTCTGATCCCCAACAATCATGGGGGGCTGTATTTTGCATGGGGTCACCACAGATCAAAGGCACGAACAGTAATAACAATACGTAGTCCTGCTGTCACTGTGGCCGAAAGTCTAAGATTTGCAGAACGGTGATATTGTCACAGCTCTTCTGAGTACAGTCTATTTAAATGAGAGAGAAAACCTAAGCAACATCTCCAAACCATATTTTTGTATCTTCTGTGACCTTCCTTCAGTCAGCAAATCACATGCATTTCCCTGCTTGCACTGTCTAGGGGAGTGACTGCTCCACGCCATGCCCTCTGGGAACCTATGGGATCAATTGCTCCTCCCGCTGTGGTTGTAACAACGATGCTGTCTGTTCCCCTGTGGATGGTTCTTGCACTTGCAAGGCAGGTGAGAGTGGGTGACTGAGCCTTGGGTTTGCGCCTGCCCTGTTCTCTCCCAAAGCTGCAGGAGAGAAACCCTCTCTCAGAGTTTATGCCAGCTATATTTGGTACAGGTTTGTGGCAAGCCCTCATCCAGTATGGACTCCATTCTAGGGTCCAGTGGAGAGGCTTAGATTAGGTGGTCATTGAAATTGCTGTCAGCTTCAGAAGTCTGTGAGTCTCTGAGTATTTGGAAATGTGCTGGCTTAGCGTCATCCCAAGGACCATAGCCATGCACCAGTTGTATATTCTCTTCATCTAGACTGTGTTCTCTGTAGGTGCTGTGGCAGCCAGGATCCTAGATAATATGTGTATAGCATCTGGGGTGTTCTTTCAAGAAAAACCTTCCCTGTCTTTGCCATATGAAGACTCCACTTTCACGCTGCAGACCAGTGCATATAAAAAGCGCCTGCAGCTCTTCCCTAATAGAGCCTCAGTGTTGGCCGACACATTTCCGGTGCTTCAAGTGCTCTTTTGATCATTCTGATGGGGACCTTGAGTGGCAGAGCCAATGCCCACTGCAGCTGAGGCTGGACACACTGTTGTATCCCCACGACGTTTCCAAAGGGAAATGTGGTTTGAACAGGCTTTGCAAAACCTCTCACTCCCTTTGTTTTCTCCTGTGCTTTGGCATCTTGTGACAGGCTGGCATGGCGTAGACTGCTCCATCCGCTGCCCCAGTGGCACCTGGGGTTTGGGCTGTAACCTAACATGCCAGTGCCTCAACGGGGGAGCCTGCAACACCCTGGACGGGACCTGCACCTGTGCACCTGGATGGCGTGGGGAGAAATGTGAACTTATCTGCCAGGTACACCCACCCCAATGCACCAGCGGGGAATACCCATGGGAGGCTGATGGCAGGGTTGGCTGCTCTTTGCAGGGTTTTTTGGGGGGGCGGGTTTCAAGTGCCTGAGAGTGAATGAAACCTTAGTAACTATTAGAAGGATTGTGATGTTTGTACTGCAATTAAGCAATGAATATTTATGGAAATTGGATGGGGAAATGCTTTAGGGGAAATGCTTCTCTCCACCCCACCCCCCTTCAATTCTACCCTGTTCCTCCACACCCTTTTATGCCTCCTGTCCTCAACACACTCATCTCTTGGCGGCAGCTGGTCAACAGCATTTGTCAAAGACCCAGTGTATGTCATCTCTCCAAATATTTTGTTTCTATTATAATGGAAATCGCCTGTTCTTCAGGGTAGAAAGTGTCAGGGTATTGAAAGGGGGCTGCTGACTGGGGTCACCGCGCAGTGAGGTGACGAAAGGAGGTTGGGAAACAGCTGTGTCTTAATGGCAATATCTCTAGAGTCACAAGAATCGCCAAAGATTTCACAGCTTCAGCTCTGACTCCAGTTGGTTGGACTCCTTTGAGCCTTAAAGTCATTTCGCCATTCCACATGGTGTCTAATTGAAGGGTGGCCGAGGACACCGGTGGGAAGTACACTCTTTCTCCCGCTGACAACTGGCTTGCTTCTTTCCCTTGTTTCCATCGCTCTTTCTTCCGATCACAAGTCTTTTCTCCGGGCCCATCAAGCATGCTCTCAGCGGTGTGCTCATTCTTGCTTGGACAGCACTCTGAGAGGGAGATGACTCTGCAACCCCAGTCATCTGGACCACAAGTGAAGGCTTCCATGCACAGGCTCTGTTCTCCCTGCCCTTCCTCCTCATTCACTACAGCCCGATTCTGGAGATGTTGGAAGGACCCTGCCCTCAGCCATTCCATATTCTCCAATTCCCCAGAACAGTTAAGTCAGCTTTGCTGCATCCCAGCCCTGAGCAGTGAATACATAATCAATACTTAGAAGGGGGCTTGAAGGGAGCTTTTCACTCCCCATCTAAATGTAGACAAAACACCCCCCTGGCATGATCTTCTTCTTTCTTGTATAGAACGTGTGTTAGTCGATCGGCGAGGGCTCACGTCGTTCTGCTCTGCCTGGGTGGAATCAGTGTGGCAGAGCCAAATCTGATCCAAATACCTTTTCCCACCCACCACCTCTAGCTAGGTGCTACCACATGGCTCCCGATTTATAGCAACCCTATATCCAACAGACCATGCCCCTGCCTGGCCCTGTGCCATTCCTCACAAACAGTGCTGTGTCTGAGACAGTTGCTGCAGACTGTCGCTCCACCACAAAGAGAGTCTTTCTGTTTTCCTCTGACCCTCCACTTGACCAAGGATGATGGATGTCCTCCTCTGGGACTGATCCTTCCTGGTAGTACAAAGATGACCAAGGAGCATGAGATGAAATCTTACCATCCCCACTCCTGATGGGAAATGCTGCTTTCTTCTCCTCCAACTCTACCGTGCTTCTGCACACGCCTTTGTTTTCTTAGCAATCTTTACGTCTAATCAAACACCAGTACAGTCCAAAAAGTCATTTATTCATGTGTTCTTTTCATTTAAAAAAAAAAAGGTTTCCAACAACAGAGAACACATTTTAGTCCCAACCTCTTCTATTCCGGTTCTGCTATTTTTCCCTCTTGTTACAGGCACCCCATGTTTCTCTGAGTCTTTGGGCCATGTGAGGGGTCTGTAGTACTTCCTCATAGTTCCTGGGGGTCTGGCTTAAAAGAATGGGGCTATGAATGCAGAGTTCTTTATTCCTCTCCTTCGAGGGAAGTCATCATGTACATGAAGAGTCTCCCCTCACTGGACCACCCAAGCTGATGTGCATGTGACAACCGAAGGACCTGGCAGGGAGGAGCAGAAGAGGAGTATGCCAAAACACAGCTGGTCCCTCCTGGGAGTCCGAAGAGCTCATGGTGTTTAGACTTCTCCTTGGGGAAAAGCCAAAACCAAACTCACTGCCTTCAAATCCATGCTGGCTCATAGCGACCCGCGGTGGCTTTCTGAGAGTGTCCCCGTTTACTGGCGTAGAAAGCCTATTCTTTTTCCTGCATGGCTGCTGCTGGGCCCAAACTGCCAACCATGCGGATGACAGTCCAACTCATAACTGCTCCACCACCAAGGCACATGTTCCATGGAAAAAAGGATACTCAGTAAGACAAAAATAAACCAAAGAATTTTCATAAATCAACTTAACTTTATTTGAGTTGTATATACATAAAATGGATATTTATATTAATATTAAGAGATTTCATATCAGGGCCATGGCCTTCCCTTACTACCAAAGGGCATAAGACGATAATGCATGCCAGGGAGCTCTGAACTATTTTTACAAATCTCTAGGAACTAAAAAAATAAGTATGTTGGTTGGAATGTACAGTAAGATAACCAAGTGTTCTTTTAATTAGCTGGTGTATGAAGGTACAACAATAAGCATTTTGTTTCACCATTCATACCATATGTCCAAATATGGTGATTTTAAAACGCTAGCCTCCTAGAGCCTCCAGTTCGAGGGGTGGAAAGAGATGATTATCGTTGGTATTCCTGGAAGGTGTAAATTGGGGAGAGCAGGGGCCTGTGTCTGCACTGTCTATGAAAGGGGCCCTCTGCCTCCCGTCATGGGATTTTGTGTGCCTCATTCTTGTATTCAATGCTGTCTTCCATGCAGGATGGCACATATGGGCTGAATTGTGCTGAGCGCTGTGACTGCAGCCACGCGGACGGCTGCCATCCCACCACGGGCCACTGTCGCTGCCTTCCTGGATGGTCAGGTGAGATCCTAGAACACAATTGGGATGGTTGTAGAAAGGCGTCAATTTAACACATACTGTTCCTTATAATTCCAGAGAAACACCTCCAGGTCTACCTTTCTGAAAAGAAAACACAGTAATGTCGCCTATAAACTTATGACCTGTTTTTTTTTTTTATTGAAGACATAGCATTGCTCAGTTTAGTTTGTCTGTAAGCCAGGGGTGGCTGTTGTGCACAGGGATTTGTGCAGGGACAGTCCTCCTGAGCCCACACAAAGGGTCCCACTGTCATTATTCAACTGACAGTGTAAATTGCTGTGAAAATCTCAGCAAGACCCCTGTGGTACTTTTTGAACATTGAAGAAAGAATTATTGGCAAAAAAAGCATAAGAATATAACTAAGTTCACTTAGTGAGGCACAGAATATTATTATTAATATGATTACTATGTAGCTATTAAGAGGTTCTGTGCTAGAAATGATTTTGAACTTTCTTCTTCTCGCAATAATATTTGTCATGACAAATTCATAAAACACATTAGTACCAATATTCTAATCACAGGGTAGAAGTTTTTCCTTATTTATATACTTCCATGGTTTTGGCCCAGAAGTTCGTCAAATCAATAGTGATCTGGGAACAAATGCAGTTGTTTCCCATGTTGTGCAAAGGGACTTCAAAAAGTTCCTGGAAAAATGGAATAAAATGATGACAGGATCTTTCCACAGACTTTTTGAAGCCCTCACGTGTAGTGGAGGATGACCCTAATTGTCCAGGCACATTGGGATCTTGCTTTTCTTTTGTGAGTGGCAGCCAGGTTCTCTGAAAGAGACAAAGCAAACTAGCAAAACTACTCTGATTCAGAACACGTATTCAGGGAAACCAATGGATAAGCATTAGGAGAGTTATCAAACATTGGGATAATTAAGCTAGATATCATCCTGAATATTTATTTCTACCAAACGTGTGAAAAATATTGACTAAAATATTTATTGCTGAGATAGAAACTTTCAGTGAAATTCTGTTAAACTAGATACTGGGTGAGAGATAGAAAAATGAACCAAACTTTTAAAAAAATCTTCCTGTTTAAAGTTATTTTTAAAACATGTGCACATGCATGTAATATAGCTATAAAGATACATTTTACTTATATTTCTATAGGTGTAAACACACATATATATGTGTGTTACTAGAGCTGGCACCAGGCAGTGCAATAACTCAAGAGGGCACTAGCCACCGCTCATGGGCCGCCTCTTGTACCAGACCACACAGAATACTGAGTAATGTTTTTCAGTTGTAATCGTATAACAATTTGTGAAGTTCACTTTTTAACAGTTCTGTTCACATATAATCCACATACCATACAATTAAATAGTCTAAATATATTAAGAAGAGTCATGCATGTGATGGTTCATTTTTTTAACAAGATAAGTCTTTCAGAAGAAACTCATATGACTTTATACCAGAGAGGTCACATATTGGAATTTATAGAATGAGGGCAATATTATTTTATGTATATATACATATACAATGAAGACTCCAGAGAAATTATAATAAGCAATATTTATTGAGTACTTACTAAATATTCACAATAATTCTTTGAGATAGGAGGTCTTATTTTCTCATTTATTACAAATAAGGAAATCAAGGCAAGATCCCAATCGCCAAATCCAAACTCACTGCCATCGAGTCGATTCCCAAGGTCCTCGAGTTAGTGAATGACAGAGGCAGCTTGCACCAACATTCTTCCGCCGTAGAGCCAGGTGTCCTGATCACTGCACACCACTGTCACACACAGACGTCTTTCAGAAAGTACTGGGGTTCTCTGAAACCGAGACCTCTGTAAATTGTAGGAGACGGCCATGGTGACCAGTGCTGGTAACTAGCAACCCACCTCCTTTTAAAAATAACACCAAAACTGAGATAACTGTACATCGTGTAGCTTACCTATCTAAAGTGGACATATCAATAATTTTTAGTATAATCACAGTATTGGGTAACCATTACTACAATCCATTGTATAACACTTCTGTTACCCATTAGCATTCACTTCCAAATCACCTCCCCCGCATCCTAGGACAACTACCCTTCTTTCAGATTTAAAAATTTGGCCTCTTCTGGACGTTATGGATTCGCACCGTATGTGGTCTTTGGTGACTAGGCTCCTTAGCAAACGTTTTTCAAGTTTTCTCTCATAGTTTAGCATCCATCCATACTTCATCCTTTTGATGGCCAAATAATATTCCATTGTATAGATATATCTCATCTTCTCTGTCCATCAACTGAAGACCATTTGGGGATTGTTCTCTTTGGCTATGATGAATAATGTTGCTTTGAACATTTACTTACAAGTTCTTGTGTAGCTGTGTAAATGTTGGATATATATTTAGGAGTGGAATTGCTGGACCATATTTGCTAACTGTACTTTAAAACTTTTGAAGAGCTAACTGAACGCTTTTCCCAAGTAGCCGTGCCATTTTATGCAGCTACCATCGATGCATGAGAGTTCCGATTTCTCTATAGTGTCACCAACACATGTTAGTATCTGTCCTTTGGAGTGTAGCGACCTGAAGGGGTGCGGAGGGTATCTCATTGTGGTTTTGATTTCAGAGTACCTTTTCATGTACATAGGGACCAGTTGTATGTCACCTTTTGAAAAAAAATCCAGGTGGTTCCCTTGCTTATTTTAAAATTGGGTTATTTATTTTTGAGTTGTAAGAGTTCTTTATATAGTCTACAGACAGGTCCCTTATTAGATTTATGATTCATAACTCCCTCCCCCATTATGTGGATTGCCTTTTCATTTTTAAAATGATATCCTTTGTAGCAGTGAACATTTTAATTTTAAGGAAGTCCAGTTTATCAATTTTTTTCTTTGGCTGCTATGCTTTTGGTGTTATATCTAAGAAATAATTGCTTAATGTAAGGTCAGAAAGATTATGCCTATATTTTTCTAAGTGTTTCTTAGCTCATATATTTAAGGCTTGATTTCATTTTTAATTAGCACGTGCAGATTGTATGAGATAGAAGCCCAGCTCTCACATGCGTCTATCCAGTTGTCCCAGCACCAGCTCCTGAAAAGACTAGTCTTTCTCTATTGAATTATCTTGGCCTTCTTCTTGAAAAAAGGTGTCTGTAAGGGCTTACTTCTGGAAGATCAATTATATTCCGCTGATCTGCCTGTCCTTATGCGAGCACTCTACTGCCTTGATCATGAATGCTTTTAATAACTTTTAAAATCACATAGTTTGAGTGCTCCACTTTTACACTTTTTCAAAATTGCTTTTGCTGTAAGAGTCTTTGAAATTCCATATCAATTTTAGAACCAGTGTATCTGTTTCTGCAAAGGAGAAAGCTGGATTTTTAGTGGAAATTCTATTGAATCTATAGATTATTTGGGAATGATTGCCATGTTAAGAATATTAAATCTCCCAGTCTATCAACACGGAATATCACCAGCAGCCTGTTCATAGTGACTGTTAATTTCTCGGATGCTGCTGAGAGCTTCTTTCGTTTCTGACCAAGAGATGGAGGTAAACGCTCACTGTTTGATGTCTACTTCTGAGAACGACTTTGGGAAGTAGGCCACCAATTCTGTAAATGAAAATATTTTCTGTTACTAGGAGACACAAGCCATCCTGACACCGTAATTCTCCCTTGACTTGAAAAAGCTAAGACAACTCTCACTTCAAAATATGAAATTCCACCTTTCTATGTTTTTCTTTTGTTTTCAGTTACTAAATAATGGCATTCGATTACACCCTAGACTACCCCCGAGTTGGGGACTTCAGCAGGGTTCTTGATGTTCTCAAATAGAGCGGCCAGAGTATCGAAATGACCAAAATGAGGGGAAATCGCAGTCTCACTCCCGGTGAATTCACAGCACACGTCTTTTGTTCGGCATCCTATTCTACCAAACCTCCATTTGTCTCATAAATACAGAATGAATGTGAGGTGATACTGAGCACACCAGGGAAAGACATACGCTAGCATACATGAAGAAAGCAGGAGCTATGCTTTGCCCTGGAACCAGCCGGAGAATGTGTTAGTTGCATTCCACAGTCTGGGTCACGGGGTAAGACAGATGATCACACATGGCTTTACCCATTGGTGTCCGGCGGGAAGGCAACACGTTTGTCACACAATGCAGTCTTGGACGCCAGCTGCCATCTGTGACTGGCCCGCTTCTCCACGGAGGAGGAAGTTTGGCTCTCTCGTGTGGCTCCTGTTATGTCTTGTCCACGCTCTCTTCACGTTGTGATCTGATCGCTACCCTGCTGCTGCCTCGAGCAGCCAGGTCACCTCACTGACTCTGTTCTGTGCATCTCCTGCGTTGGCTGGTGGTCGATCAACAGCTGAGCTTATCGGAGCCTCCTGTAGACATTTGAGAGAGGTCATCCAACACATTCACAAAGCAAACTCCGTGCAAGCAAACATGAATAGGGGAAAGATGTTTATTGATCTCCTAAAAGACACTCTATAAAAGAACCAAGAAATGCTTTAGTTTTCTAACAGAAAACAGAAGCAGATTCTGCGTACTATTATACAGAATGCCAGTTCATTGGTAACACTGGATAGACAAACACTTTTTTTCATGATTATTCTTGTTTTGAGGAAATAGCTTGTACGAACCTCTCGATGTAGCAGAAGCTTTGCTTTGCTTTTCCTTTAGACACGAGATTTGAGGCCCAATAATGAACATAAGCTGAGGAAAGCAAGTAATTCTGTTTCCTCTCCTCATTGCTCTGTGAGATGTTACGTATCCGGGTGTGTGTTAACAATGAACTTCTGTGAAGTCATCAGTGGAATCGAACACAGGGGTCTGAGCTCTTCCTTAGACCAAGTAAGCAGACCAAGATGGCCGAGAGGCACTAACATGGCTTGGTTACTGAGGACACTATGGAGAGCAGCTGCTTAGGCATCCTAGCTTGGAGCCAGAGACAAGAGTCAGGAAAGGATTATACCTCTCTCAAAGAAATGGGCAAAACTGAGAAAGCCATACCCTACCTGGATATGATACAGAAG